GTCAATTGGAATATACTCAAAATCCGATATACAACATCACATTAGAACACAACAATTCCAAGAATCATTAACACAAATGGACACTATACAAAGACAATCAATTGACCAAAACTTACGCAAACTTGCCGAAACCGCAGGATTTGCAGATATTTATACACAAGACTATAGCGGATATTTTAAAGACATTAAAGACTATATATCTCTAAACGGTGAAAAATACCGACCACAAGATATCTCACATATAAATATTTTTAGCTTTGTTACACTCAAAAATGAAATTCTTGATTTTCTAGGATGGCCCTATTACATCTTAGAAAAATTAACTATTTTATACGCAATGTTTAACTTTATAGGATTTCTTTTTTCGCTTTTAAAAGGAATCTATAATACATGCGCTATACACACACAAGTAAATAGACAAGCAAGTGTAGCACGCATACTATTTGCAGGATTTTTTGGAATTTTTTCATCATCAATAAACAAAATTCTTTTAGACGCACAAATAAAAGAATACAACACAAAAATAGCAACAAGACAAAACACATATGACGAAGATCATAACAATGTAGAAATAACGCCCACAGCACCACAATTACCACCCCTACCACATAACCATCCATTATCCCTAGCCCCACGAAATTTTCGAAATCTAGCAATAACACATAATCCAAATTTTAGACCAACCATATCACAAAGTCCTATTCAACATATAATGACACATCATTCACTAGATGAAATGACATATGAACAAATTATAGAACAACCCCATACCACCGCTTTTCAGTCTCAAAATAATAATTTTTTTAGCCCACGATGAGCCGACAACTTGGATCCCTACACCGCTCAAATTCCCACCCAACCAACCTCAACACTCCAATTACAATAATTCCACTTTTTGCTTTCCCGCCACCCGATTTCCCAATCAATAATGTAACATCAGGCATGAATTCAGACACTAATTCACATATCTCAGTTTTACACTCCATTTCACAACTCAATAACCCAAATATTGAAACCCCTGACGAATTTGCAGATTCTGAACCATCTCCATCCAATAATTTTCAAACCAACTCCTCAGTTTTTTCAAAACCCCCTTTTCAACCAATCCCACCAAATAACCCACTCCCATCCATTTCTACACCCTCTTATGCTTCACAAGTCACCCCAACCTACTCTTCATTTCATTCAGACCGATCATCCAATTCTCCAGATACTCCCCAAATCTCCCAGGAACTAGATAATTTTATCACCCACCAACAACAACCCTTCCACCTTGAAAACCCCACTATAAATCAGATTTCATCCACAATAGACTCATCAAACCCACCTACCCCTACACCCTCTTCAGCTTATACCGCATCATTAGCACCATCATCCACATCCACCGAATCATCAAATAGCACTAATAGAGCTTATCGCACTTTCAAAAGAAAATTCCCAAACCATCCATTTCCAACAAAACCAGGAACAGCCCGTGAATATATTAATCATCCAAATCACACTAACACGAAAGATTTTTTAGCAACCACCCTACCTTCATTTCCTCAATATACTTTGAACACTCCTAACAACACTAACGACACACGTAGTTTTGTAGATGAACAAGTTTTAATGCCTACACTTCATTGGACATCATATTATCATTTTACTAACCCCCTTTGCCTACCTTTATCTAATACTCACATCGATATAGAAAGAAATAAAGATATGCTATATCGACTCACCACACCACTAACACATAGACAATTTACTTATATAGGATACAAAAAGTCACTAAAAACATACACTGCACCACGAGCAAACGAATATACGCTAGAATATTACAATCGCAACATCATCCGAGCTAACCAAGACCAATTTTTAGATGATGATCGTTTCGCTAACCCACAAATCACAGAAAAATTTTTCATCAAAACACCATATGTATTTACACTCAATATATTTGATCGCAAATTCGACCACGTCATTTCTGAAGCACTAACCGACACACAAGCTTACGAAAGTTTTAAAGAAAGATTTCAATTATTTTCACTAACTTTTAATTTCCTTGCACCACATGAACGCGATTTGCACTGCTCACACGACATTATGTTACGCACTAAACAAACCCACACATATACATATTATCGATTCATACAAAATCATTTTGATCTACACACTCCATCAAGACAACCACACCACCGTTTTCAATTTATTAACTCTAAATACATATCACCATTTTTTTTTAACTTCACATATTGCATCAAAGATACTAACCTTCACGGTATTCTTCGCGATTATGATCCCATAACCCAAATGTATATTTTTTGTCCCATCACGAAGACCTTCAACGCAGAAGAATCCAGACCCTTCCTTATCCCACATGAATTTATCCAACCTATAGAAATCCCGATATTAGAATTCATTCACAACACTACATACAATCACAAATTATATAATCTCATCCAAAACACACCTTATGAGTTTGCAGTTGGCACTGAAGAATTAAAAACTACTAAAGCACTTCAATTGCTTTGGCCACTGCTTCAAACTAGCAAAATTACTAACAAATTCCGACATAATTCACGACAACTTCCCTCACGGTTTTTTCCCCTACGACTAACAGGTAAGTATAATTTATCATATTCTTCACTAATAAATTTGAAATAAATACTAACCATTCTTATCCATGTCTTATTTAGATTTTTAGTCTTCATCCCACGATCACCTACAAATTACACAAAAGAAAAATAAAAAATAGAAAACTTCTTCAAATTCTTCAAAACTCTATTAATTTTTTGCACTAGATAAATTCAATAAAAATCATACCAATGTAGTAAATTAATTTATAAATTATTTCCCTAAAAGCAGTAATTCTAATAATGATGAAAATTTGTAACTTAATTTTTCCCCAAAAAACTAGCAGTATAATTGAAATTCTATGTAGTAAATTAATAAAACGAAAATGCAGTACTAACCTTTTGATATTTTCATTCACTCGCACAAGAATTCTATCCAAACTCGCACAGCTCGCCCACTAACCCGGTTGGAAAGGAATTATATACTAAACAAAACTAACCAATGCAGCTTACTAAACACCACAAATCATAGAATAATAGCATGACTAAGAAAAAGAAACCAACGGTACCCAAACCGGATTAACCCAGTTTAAAACTGGATAATTTATTCTTTTGAAGACTATTATAAAGTCTAAGAAAGAAATAATAAAACACAAAAAAGTCGAAAGACAAACCCATACCAAAAACAATTTGATTTTTGAAAAAAGGACACAACCAACGAAACATAAGAAAAACCACAATAAACCCAACATAAAACGTTATCACATAACAGGACCTCTCACAGAAACCGCACGAAATCATACTCCCACTCCTGGCCTAACCCACCAGAGAGGACGTCCTGAGCATGCTCTATAGCCGGCCTAACCCACCGCGCTACATCCACGCTTTGTGACCACACTTCTATTTTTATTAAGAGGTACTCAAGGGTGAGTAACTCTTCAAAATAACCGAACTAAAACAAAAAGCTTTTGTGAAAACAACTAACCAAAATCATAATTAAAACACCGAACTAATAAAAATTTTATAAAATGTAAATTATACCTTGCAGTATATAGATCAGCATACAACACCAAAGACGAACATCCAAAGACAAAAGGACCCCACTACACTCGAAAAAGAATGGCCAACCACAATCAATATGCCGTCCACAATCACAACTCAAAGGATTTAGAGTACGACTTGACTTCGCAGAAAAGGACTTCATTGAACTAGACCAATGACCACCTCGATGTTCAAGTATACGTACAGATCCGAGTAACCAGGCATCCCCTCCACGCACAATCTCCACGCCATTCCCAGACTAGGTTGAACACAAAAGAAGTTCTCTACATGAAACAGAAGAACCTGTCATAGCAAACCATTCTGAAATCAGATTTGAGTTTGTTGAGAAAACCCAGTCGTTGTCATAAGAAGACACAACGATTGATCCTGGAACTTCTCTAACAGGAGAACCCAGAAGAAATATGATGTTCGCCAAATACCAACGTCCATCATCCATCCTTTGAATTGCAGAAAAACTATTCTAAAAAACTCTGTAAAACCCGGATGGGTGGAACCTGATCTAAACTACATTTTATGATTGGATAAATTAGATATTTTACCACTGTAAAGTATTTAATATTAACCAATCATGATCCATCTAACTAACAACCCACTTATTTGTAAGTGCTGAAATTACTTGTAATTTCAGCACCAGAGAGATTTGAATTTAACTTAGAAATTAGTTGCCTCTCCAAGAGAACTTCAGCAGCCGCAATAAACCAGTATACCCTAGATCTATTGAGCCTAGCAGAGACTAGTTAAACAACCTGAGACTAGAATAGTATAAGAGTAAGATTAGGATCGGTATTAGACTAAGAAGTTGCACGAATCTATCCGGCCGAAAATAAGATAGCGTGACGAGCAGACGGTGTACCCTATCCGAAATTACTCTATGAGTTAAGACCATCGGTTATAACTCATTATTGCTTTACGTGTAAT